AGCGTCGCGCGGCGCGGGGTCACGCGCTAGCCCCTCTGCGCGACTGGTCGCGGCTTATCCTGGTCCCAAAGTAATGTCAGCGCTGAAAAAGAATCGCAGCAACAATAATGTGTCCAAATGGCTCTACGGAAATTATGTTAAAAATAAGAAACGCAGGAACAATTGAGAAAATGAATAAAAGACACTTGGGTTCCATCATGCCCGGTTCTATTTATTTACCCTTAACCCATAGAAGAAAGCGTTGTGAAAGGCCGTGCGATCAACATCAATGACAAGTCAAAAGTGATTTGTGGACCCATCACTGATGGCGAAAAACAATAAAAGGTAACGGCTATCAACTAGTAGTTTTTATTTTTTTTCTGATAAAAGAAAAATTATATTAGATAATAGGTGGATACATCGACATATTACACAAATATCCAGAAACTAATTTTTATCTAAATTATATCCACGTTGTGAATAGCAACAGATCTCAAAACCAAACATGTACGAATCTTTGCAGTATAGATGACCGCATAGGCAAACACTCGACAAAAGACTCGAGAACAGATACCCAATGAATGACTGTAAACATTCAAGTAGGTGGAGTTGAGAAACTTATTTTTCATGGTGTCTTACTTCTTCTTCTTTCTGCCACCGAAGAGTGAGGAAGACTGATCTGAAACTTATTCTCCCTAGTCCTTCACCGTGGCCAGATCTAACAATAATAAAACGGAGAAGAGTCCGGAGAAAATTATTTTATGGCGGCGACACCATCTCCTCCTTGATGTCGCTGTCCGAAAATAAAAGTCTCCATGTCGTCATACCGGTGAGGATGTTGCGTGGTTGTCGCCCCCATCTTCAGTAGAGCCGCCAAGGAGAAAACGATTCCATCCTACCCTCTCACCATCGCTGGAGAGGAGGAGGAGATAAATCCCCCAAACCAAGAAACTTGGCATGGAGAGACCCTAACCCTAAGGACTCGATCTACTAGCACAACGTATTAAAATGATAGATCCCCACTCCCTTTGGCTACCGGCGATATGCTGGAGGGGGAGGGAGGGGGCCAGTGGTGGTGGAGGCGGGGAGCGGCGGCGGCGCTCCGAGTCACGAGTCACCTGGGGCTAGCGGCCCCACAATGCATCGAGCAATCTGGATCTACTATTGTCTTAGTGTTTGCCTGTGACTATCAATTTTTACTTTAAAAACATTATAAGGCTCTCTTTGGATCTAGGGTTTTGGGGCACCCAGAGCGGCGTTTTATAGCCGTGTCGACAATGGAAACGGTGGCGAACGGTGTACGATGGAAGGGGGTACGTGTGGGGCGATGAGGAGGTCTAGGCTAGGGTTCCAAGGCCTTTGCGCGCTAACAAGAATTTCGCCAGGGCAGATCGGAGCGGCTCATGGTCAAAAGAGGCGGGAGTGTTTTGATGATGGTGTCAACAGGGTAGGGCCACGGCCAAGGTGTACTCCTATACCTTGCTCGCGTGGGCGCATCTGCACCACGGATCATGGATTTGGCAGGCTAAGTTTGACAAGATCTCTATGAATGGGGTCGATTTATATTGATTCTTGGGTCTCCTCTGAGCTACATAGTGTTAAGTTTGGCAAGTGTGCACCACACCTAACACATTAGACTCACCTAGGTCAAGCTACTAGTTCATACTCGCTTCATAGTATGGCCAAAGGAAAAACAAAGTCCTAAACTACCCTAAGTGTATCTAACACCAAACGACACTTAGAACTAGTTCGTCCTTAACCATGTCCTCCATCCTTTGAAAACCAAAACTATTTCCATCAATAGGTGCATGAAAACCACTGATTTCCCAGACAATCACATTATTATGACCTAACTCAAATTGCCTCTATAAAACACACGTTAGTCACAATAATCTTATATCGTCATTAATCACAGAAACCAACTAGGGGACTAGATGCTTTCAACCATCGTCCTCCCAACCATAGCCATCGCCACCACCACCTTCTGTGACGTCATCTCTCGTACCATCATGCATCATGACAAGATGGGCATCGTCATCTTCTCTTACTTCTGGTGTGCAATCACTTCCTAGTTGCTTGCTTATGTACGTCTTTCACCATGATGATCCCAAATCGTGTAGTTCTCCATGAAACCCCTTCTTACTAAGTGTGATTTTATCGTATTTGGATCATGGCATACTATATGGTTCCGATAGTCACAACAGGAACAATATATATATCTTTTGTCTGCTTAATCAAAACGTGTCTTTTAGCGACTTTAATAAAACCATTCTCATCTTGTATGTAGGAAGCTTCGTGTCTTCGTTTTGTGTACATCCATGACCTGTCCATATGTGGTCTTCGAAAAGAAAAGGTATATTTGCATCAAGATATTATTTCGCATATAAATCTTGAAGGAATTGTCTAATTTTTTTTACAAATATTATATTATTCTAGACTAGAGCTTAAAAATAATATAAAAAAGCTATGAACCAAAAATGACAAAGTAAATATACAAATTAACCAGAGTTCATGTGAGCCAAGTAAGTTGGGCAAAAAATCAATCTAAATTGCTAGGAAAAATAAAAAAAATCAAACATCATGCATATTGCTCTAGATCTACGTGAGAACAAAAAATCAGTAAAAGAAATGTATAAGTAAAGTTTGAAAAGAGTTTAGGGATGCCACAAACTCACCTCTCAAACCTAACTCCTTCAAAGGTTCAAAGGGCAAAACCTCCCCCTCTATTTTTGCTATTTCTCGCCTCCATATAAGCTCAACAATGATGCTCAGCAGCACTGTTACGAGGAGGAAAAAACATATTTAAGGGGGTTATTTTTAGGGGCAGTTGACTAAGAGCACCGCCCCTATTTTTGGATTTGAGACGCGGTTCTCTTAAGAGATCCATCTTAATTTGATAATCTTTTCTAGAGACGGTTCTGTAAAGATGACCGTCCCCAAAAATCGTATTTTCAGGGACGGTTTTTTTAACAGAACTGCCCCGAGAAATAGATGAGTTTTTAGGGCTGGTTTTTTTTTCTAAGTCGGCCGCCTCTATTAGAAAAGGGAGACGTCTGTAAAAATCATTTATGTGCTCAAGTAAATGGGGGCCTGATTTAGGGTGTACTGTTTGGGACTGGAGTTGAGAAATTGAACCTGCAAAAGACAGCCTCTTATTAACATCCAACCTAGTCAGTAAAGCTATCATGAGTTAAGTCGTTTTTCACCTGCCATGTCCTTCAATTCACAACAGTAGTAATAACTTTGCCCTCCCATTAACATCCAACTTAGTCACTAAATCTATCAAGCTGTCCGGTGTTTCAGATTAAACTAGATTTGTATTATACAATTCAGAAAATATAAAATAACCTTTAACATGAGAGCTAGACGGTCTGGCTTGCCTAGTTTTCACAGCTTTGATGATCAATGATATCTGATTTTGAGTTGAGGGCTAGTTGGAAGGTCAAATATATATGTAGACTTATTCACTCTTAAAAATTTATTGAAGAAGCCTAGTTGAAAACAAGTTCAACGTTTTATGTGTTTTTTTTTGTTGGTAAGTTGCATCTCAAGACAGCGGTTACGACAGATAAAACCAACAACCACTAGTGAATCCGCAAAATATTATTATAATAGGATTTCGTATATGGAAACTTGCAAAGCCATAAGATTATAAGAATTTGAAAATCGTTAGCAAGGCACCGTATCATCTTGCATTATCAGGTGGCGGTTCAATTCGTCGGCCTAGTAAAGGTATTTTCCCTGGCTGTTTAAGTGTTTATTATAGTACTATTAGTACAGGGAACACAGAGTGAGCACAATCTGCTTTATAAATTCAAAGAAATAACACTTCAATACAGTAGACGGCTAGACGCTGCAATTACCTGAATAGACTGCACAAGCACAATATTGTGCACAGGTAATAATAAAAGTGAGAGGCAACGTGTTTGGTTGCCCACCACAATAAGACCCAGAAACCAAACAGACCCAAAAACTTGGGGAATTCCGATGGAAGGAAGTGTTCGAAGTACTCCCTCCGTCCCTACAAAAGAGTCGCTATGAGAATCGTGGTGGTCAAACTTTCTCAACTTTGACTAGGTTTGTAAAAAATACGTGCAACACTTATATCTCCAGATAAGTTTATTATAAAAGTATATTCAACGATCTACCTAAATGATACTAATTATGTACCATAAATATTAATATATTGCTATATATATTTGATCAAAATTAAAAGTTGTTGAATTTTTAAGTCAGCATCATCAGTTGAAAGATCATCCTTCGACTTGATGTATGTAACCACCGATTCCTGCACTTGATTGTCAGTCAAGTCAACAACGGCAGCTAGCGAGAGGCTGCAAATCACCCAATCGAACAATACGAGATGCACAACACAGGGCATGTCCAAACTCAGCAGCGGGATCATCGTAACCTCGTGTTGGAGGCGACACACATGGGGGTTTGCAGCACAGAATTGATCCGAAGTGACCACAGCATCCTCGATTCACACCCACTGCGTTCTGTCGTCGTTCTGGGTTGCCGCCAATGTCCCCAAGGTTACAGTGCAACCAGTGCCGGGCGCCATGGGGCCGAAACCCTTCCCGTCACGGCGCGCAACTTCAACGAGTACCAGCCGGCGGCCACCTTCGGTGACGCACAAGCTGCGGTAAAGTGTCACGAACGTCAATTGGATAGATCTCACAACTCCAAAATCACAGTACAATATGGAAGTTCCAGAAGGTTCTAGAAGAGTCTAGATACATAGCGCTAGTACATGGAGGAGTGACAAGAATAAAGGATAGAAATCTAGCCTAAGCTAGCCTCGAGCAGATGCTCGCCTCGACTCGAGCTCGCGCTCACCGCCGCCGGGTTCGTGTTCTGGTTCTTCGACCCTGCTCTTTGGTTGGTGATGATCCTTTTGTATTGGACTGCACCAAGTAATATTGATATTCAGATCCATCAGTAAGGAAGGGCATGTGTTGTTGTTGGTCATTCGTATGTCATTTGCCCACAAGCCAATCAAATTGTAGTAGTGCAATGCTTCAAAACCGCCAGGGTCCCATTGCACTAACAAACCCTTCCTGAGAGAACTTATTGCAGTGGACCACCTCAAAATCCTCAGATGAACTGTGAATAGCAAACCTCCAAGTTTCTGCTATGCTCACCTGTACTGTAGCATGCAGTACAAAGTGCCATGGTTTCTGCTCTTGTATGCATAATTCAGACAAACATGTCTTGTGAAATAGATGAACACCTCTACACTTTTCTTGAGGTTGAGATGGCCAAGGGATTATCAACTGCACAAACACAATATATAGACTGCTTGTAATCATGTCAGTAACAGGTGGTGGCCAAGGTTCAGGTATCGCTGATGATGGCCATAACTGCTGCATCGATAACCCAACATTGTTGTTTTTAACCATGACACACTGATATGCATCACCTTGGTCTTCAATTTGAAACAACTCAAATCTGTGCTCTGTGCATTTAAATATGTGACATGCAGATTTCCTGTTACTTGTATCTACTTGGTTCTGCTCATTAACAGTTTGCACCCAAGCCATTACTGTGACATCGACAACAAACTCTGAAGAAGCTAGATTGCAAGCGCTGCTCATACTAACATCCTTTCCTCCTTGAATTACGGCTTGTTCCCAAGCCATTGTTGAGATACCCGAAATGAAGAGTAAACCCATTATGTCATATGTAGATTTCCGGGTACTTGCATAAGCTTTTGGCGCAATGCCTGAAACTGAAGTTGCACCAATTTGCTTTTTCCTTGGCATATTTCCATTAGCACTGAAAACCAAGTATAACTTAACTGAGATGTGGCAGGAAGTGGATCCACAGTAAACTCTTAATAATGTCAACCTCGATGGACCAGGCTTGGAACTGTTCGCTCCAACTACAATTGCAGCTTCATTTGGATTCAATCCAGGGATCTTACATGTGGAATATAATATGTTGTCAATCGGAACTTGTAGGTCATCTATGTCCCAATGCTTCCTGCACTCCCACTCCCAGAATTTCCAATGAAAGCACTTGCCCATAAGCATACTCATTGGTTGAACAGATAGATTGCTAACACAAAAATGCAGAAGCATCATTCTGCAATTGGGTGGTGGCCATGGAGGCATCAGCAGTCGAGACATCTCCAGAACCTTTGCTGCCATATTGCCTTGCATGTCTGTTTGTAACAGTTGAATCATTGTATGCCGCAACACTGAAATGGAGTGATGAACTAGGTGTGCCACAACACAAAAGAAATAGTAGGAGATACCCTGACAATTTTCTTCAAAACTGAATCCACCCCTTTAATGGTCAGCAGTAGAATAAAACAAATTAGGAGTGATGATCCATTCACAACTCAACTTGCAGCAGGCTTCAGAGTCAAATAAAATAGCATCATGGCATGACTGCAACAAGACAACTGGCCTCCAGAAATCCAGTATGACTGCACCAGAGATATACACCATACATTTCCAATTCACTTCAGCAATGTTGATGCCCAAGAATACCTTGACAAAGCTACTAGCACGATGGTGGCCAGAAATGTTTCTGCACGCATAAGACACCCATGGGGGCTTCCAGCCATGCATCAAATAAACAGACTGTTCATCAGTTACGTTGCCCTCCACAGAAAGCTGGTAATATTTCCACGGTACTTCCCTCCAATAATTTGACTGAAGCAAACCAATCCGGTCACTATGACACCACCACACCATGTCCTAAATCTTGCAGCTGTCTGTACATGTGCTGAAATTGCAAGTGCTGACCTGATGCATGTTTTTCTCATCTCTAGCCATGCACCATCACCTTGGACCCTTTGTTGAGCTGCTGGCCGAACAGTTAGATAGATTGCAGATAAACACCATGGCGACACCTCAAGCAGAAACCCACTGACCAATTGCATTTTCCCAGACCATGAACTAAACACTGCTGTGCATAGAGGCCATGGAGGTTTTGGTGTTTTGCTACTTTGCCTATGGTTGGTTCTACTAATATTGAGCAGATTATTGCCCAAATCTGAGATGCAATGACGACACAATTCCACTGACTTGCAGTAATCACATGAGGAAGTATAAGAAGCATGCGGCGTTACCTCAAACACAATCAGGTCAGGACCGGCACTTGCAAGGACCTGCAGCCGGCGCCTGTGGAAGTCCTTCAGGTTTTCGGCTGTGATGTCAGCTCTGTATGATCCACTGTACTCTGATCCATCAGCAAGATAGGCTCCATAGCTCCCAGTGGATGCAGCAACCAGAGCACGGTTGTAGATAGGCTTGGACTTCCTAAGTGCTGACTTCCAGAATTCATCTCGAGCTTCAACAGCCAGTTTTACACCAGCTTCAGCATACTGCATATGAACCTCCTTGACGAGGTGTGGCCTGGTGATGAGGCAAGCGGTGCTCCAGAGCGGGTCGTTGATGTCAGCGCCGAGCGCCTCCAGCTGTGTGGCCGAGCTGCCGTCGATGGCTTCGGCGTTCGGGTCGCGACACGACATCGAACACTTGGCGTGCATCTCCCAAAGGTGTTCTGTGATCCCGATAGATATGGTGGGGGCGACCTCATGAGGCAGCGTAGAGGTCGAGGAGGTAGTCGAGGATGCCATTGTTGTGGTCGGTGTCGCCGGCTTGCCGAAGACGGAGTCGGATCCGGTGATGTCGTGGTCAGTGACCTGCTCGGTGGTGCAGAACTGGAGGGCAAGGGAGCTGTCCCGTGGTGGATCTGTCGTCGTGGTTGCCACGGAGGGCGCAGAGGAGGGCATCGCTGGCTTGCTGGTGGTCGAGCTGGTGACTTCGTGCTGGAGTTCGTTGGAGTTGGTGGTGGAGATGGAGAGGACGAAGTCCGGAGGTGGAGCGGGGGTCGGGGAAGACATGGGCGACACTGAGGAGGTCGTCGTGAACCTGCTGCTTGGGGAGATCTTGAGCTTGCCGCGGAGGTCCTGCAGCGCCCATGTGTTCGCCTCCAAGGTCTTCCTGAGCGAGTCGTGCTGTTGATCCATCCGAGACTGCATCCCCTTAGCAGCTCAGCGACGGCGCCGATCTGTCCCTCCATCGCCATCAACCTCTTCTGCTCCCTCGTCTGGTACTGCGGCCGCAAGAGGAACTCCGGTGGCGACACCAGATCGCTTCCGCGACGAACCGAGCTAGCCTCGAGCAGACGCTCGCCTCGACTCGAGCTCGCGCTAGCCACCGCCGGGTTCGTGTTCTGGTTCTTCGACCCTGCTCTTTGGTTGGTGATGACCCTTTTGTATTGGACTGCAAGTGTTCCTTGACTATCGGGCTGGGCCAAGCCGAGACAAGTTTAGCACGCCGGCCCACTGCTTCTCCAATCTGGCCAGCCTAGCCAATAGCCCATGAGGTCCCTGACATAAAGTCCTTGCACGCGAGCATAGATGTCCAACGGGCCGGCCCGGGCCGGCCCGGGCCGGCCCAGCATGGGCCCGTGCCAGGCACGGCCCGCAGGGGAACGGGCTGGCACGACACGCCATGCCTCCCGTGCCGTTCCTGGCCTTCGGCCCAAGCACGACCTGCTGGGCCGTTTTTCGGGTTGGGCCGGCCCGAGAAGCACGACCAGTCCAGCGTGCTGGGCTAGCCCGGGGCCCACAGAGAGAGCGAAGGGGACGCAGGGGCAGCCGTGGAAGGTGGCGGCGGCCGTCGGCGTGCTCATCCTCGAGGTGGATCCGGCTGGAGGCGGCGGCCACGCACCTGCGCATGGCAGGAGGAGGCAGGGGCAGCCCACGGGAGGTGGCGGTGGACGCCACCGAGGAGGATCCGGCCACGTGCAGCAAGAGGTGGTAGGGCCATAGGGGCACTCCATAGAGGGGGTGGGTGGCACGCCAGTCGTCGGATCTGGATCCCAACCGGCGAGCGAAGGTGAGGAGCCCCGAGCCCACGACGGCGTACCGCACCGGTGGAGTGGAGAAGGAAGGACAGAGGAGCGAGCCAGGCGGGACACGGGAAGGAGCGAGAGTGCGACGCACGTAGGGGATCCTACAGTGTCGCACCTGGCCTACGAACGAAGAGAGGGAGCGAGGGAGATAAGAGATGCGAGTCGAAGGCGAGAGTAGCGATGCTGCTCGCAGCGCGTGTGGGAAAGGGGGGCGGCGACTAGGGATACGAGGAAATGAGATAGGGTTAGGGGGAGCCAGGGAGGTGAGCTGGGGGCGCGGCCACGCAGGGTTGGTAGGCCGGGCCGCCAGCGGGCCATGTCGTGCCGGCCCACGTGCCTGGGGTAAGGCCCAGGCACGGCCTGCTCCTCTAGGCCATGCCAGCCCGGGCCCGTCTCGCAACCGGGCCAGGCCGGGCTTGGCCGGGCCAAAAAAACGGGCCTTGGGCTGGGTCGACGGGCTCGGGCTGCATGGCCATATATACACGCGAGGAGAATATGATCGCGGAGGAAGCTATCCTGTGGAAAACGGACGTATGAGACCTTAGGGCCATCGTCTCCAAGGATGCCATCGCAGAACAAGAAGCCATGGGAGTAGTCATCCCAGCACAAGGAGTTGTTGAAGGGGACAACTTCATTGGTCACCCAGTGGATCAGATGGGTGTAATCATCGTCGTCCTCGTAAGGGACCGGTAGGAGCTTGGTCTCCCACCTCTCACCGCCGTCATCGCCACGGGCCCGCGACGACGAGGAGCGAAGCAGCCACAGCTCGATGTGGAACTAGAATGTTTTCAGAGTCCAGTGTACGCCCAGATGCGCCACGACAAACCTATCACCTTTGCCGTGGCACAACAGACCGACAATAGATAAAATTGAAGAGCTAAAACTAAGAATCAAGCAGCGAAGCTTTACCAAACAGACCATATTTTCCTTTTTTTTAGACAAGGCCGGACGTCCAGCCCCCCAATGCGTTCAAACGTAGCTCCCACCACCCAACCATGATCACGATGCACGGGCTTAGGTTGGCAACGGAAGCGGTATCCCTACCCTTCAACTGGAGTCCAACGGAAGCCTATTCATGCCTGCGTAATAGAAGGGGAGAGCGCATGCATGCTCACATCCATGTCGCCATCCCATGGCGCACCCCCTTCTAGTCTGAGAAGGATGCAAGGCAACAGAAGACGATAGGAGACATCGAGACGAGGCAGCAGAGGTGAAAGTGCATCTAGCCCTTTAGTGGGTTTTGGATGATTGAATGACAATGTGATTAAAGGTCTAACTCGTTTGCTAAGTGTGGACAAAGTTAGGTTATCTCACCGGTACTTAATGAAAGCCAAAAAGTTGTGTTGTTGTATAAACAATCTAGTTCAAGCACAAGACAATAATGTAAATGGAATTCATGCAAAGGCTTATTTATTGTGGGATTTCCATGTACTATGTGAAATCAAGCTCGTAAGAATTAATTAATAAGACTTGAGGGATTACATATGGAATGGTCTCATATTTGAAGCTTGCTAAATTGAAATGAAAAAGATAACAATACATGAATGGTTGATTCAACACAAGATGTGACTTGATGGCTTGAGATGGTGAAGATAGCAAGGAAAGGCTTCAAGGTACTAAGCAAGGGTGAAGGGCAAGCGACGGCTTGGCGGCCGAAGAACCTAGCTAGGGTGAAGAAGGAAGTACTTGCATTTAGTTGAGGTACTAATCAAGCTATGATGGCCATGTTTATGTGGAGGATCAAATCACTATTAGAGTGTTTGATGGAAGTGACTTGATACATTTGGGATTATTCATATTTGATGAATGGATTCAAGTCACGTGCTCAAGATGGCTATGCTCAAGTGAAAAAGATCAAAGTTGACATGTTAGCACCCTCACTTGATGAACATTGGAATACACAGCTTCGGTTGAAAAAGATCAACTCAAAAGGTTTAAATTCGTTATACTTTTAAATTTGAGTTAATAGGAATGTCGTACTATTAAGAGGGATGCATCATGTTGATAGATAATGTTTCATAAGTGCTCAAGCCAACCCATGTGAGTTTTGAGTATTTGAGAGACAAAAGAGCTAACCTGTGTTTTGCTGATCTGGCAATACCGTACGTGTCCGGTATGTGCCCAGCCACAATTAATTTTTTGTTGCTCTCGGGTTGGTTCGACGGGAGTTCCGACGTGAGTCGGAAGTTCCGATGGTCAGGAGTTCTGACGTCTTGCGCTTAACTGACTTAGATGGTTCACTGTCCTGCTCATACCAGACGTGTCCGGTATTCATACCGGACATGTCCGGTATGGACAACCAGAGACCAACAGCTAGTTTTCAAATGCCTTGAGGGTTGGGAGTTCCGACGTAAGTCGGGAGTTCCGACGGTCGGAAGTTCCAGCATGCGTCGGGAGTTCCGACACCTCACAAACTTCAACTCAGTTACTTAGTTCTTAAATATGCTGAGGGTCGGGAGTTTCGACGCGAGTCGGGAGTTCCGACGGTCGGGAGTTCCGGCATTAATCGAGAGTTCCTACGCCTCACATTTGTCACTGTAACTTAGTTACCGTTGGGGCAGTGTAAGTCATATCGGACGTGTCTGGTATGCTATCCGGTATGGCAATGGCTATAAAACTGCTAGTTTTTCTAAGGGGGCTATAAATACCCCCAAGCCTCCACCTTTGGAGGCTGCTGATTCTGCTGGTTGCAATACACGTTTTTGAGCCTTGCTAACTCTCCCAACCCTCTTTTAGTGAGTGATTGACCAAATTTGTCAAATCAATTAGTGGGTTGAGAGAAATTCAAAAAGAGAGCAATCCAACCACTTGAGCACTTGTGCATATTGTCAATCTCCTGATTTACATTTGTTACTCTTGGACTCTTCGGTTCTAGACGGTTAGGCATCGCCGGAGAGCACCCGAGAGATTATCGTGTGCCTCGGAAAGTTTGTAACGGTCGATTCCGCCGCCTCGGAATCAACTAGTGGAAAGAGGAAAAGGAGTTGGAAAAGACTCTGGCTAGAGTGACCTTCGTGGTACCCTCTAGTGCTGACCTTCGCTGGGTTGCCCGCAACCCCCTCAACGGAGAGTAGGACTCCAACGAGTATGAACTTCGGTAAAACAAATATCGTGTCTCAATTCACATTTCATTTGATATTTGTGTTGCTTCAACTCTTGTGCAGGCTCTCTGTGTATATTATCATCTCTAGTAGGTGCCTGTAGTTTGGTTTGAAGATAGAAATTAAAAGGAGCAAGTTCGGGGCTGATCTGCAGAAATCGTGTATACCGAACACGTCCGGTATTCATACCGGACACGTCCGGTATTAGAGCTCAGTACTGAAAATATTTATTTTATGTTCTAACTTTATGTTGTAGGGTTGTAGCTTCTAGATATATTCTTTATACCTTGTTTATTCTGTGGCTAACTTGTGAGGGGTGGTATTATTCTTAATTTAGAGTTTCCATCCTTTTCTATTTGTTTCCACATTTAAAGGTGTTAGTTTTCAGAAACGCCTATTCACCCCCCTCTAGGCGGCATCCTAGGTCCTTTCAATTGGTATCAGAGCGAGGTTCTCAGCTAAAGCTTCACCGCCGTGAGAAAAGGATGTCGACGCCTATCGAGTTGGAGCCGGTGCTTCTCCAAAATGATGGTTCAAACTTTCTATCTTGATCAATTCATGTACTCAACGCTTTTAGGGATATTAGTCCTCTTGTTGAGCATATTGTAGATGCAAGCATACCTCTTCCTATAGTTGATTGGAACAACTACAAAAATTTGTCAAAAGAGGAAGAGATATGTGTGCAACTCAATGCTCAAGCTATTAATGTCATGTTGAGTACATTGAGTGCAGAGGTACAAGATGAGTCAATCTTCAATGGACAACCACCTCCGGAGAGTGCTCATCTCATTTGGACTAGACTTTTTGATTTATATGAAAAATCGAAATGTGATGATGCACTTGAGATCAAGTCAATGGAAAGTATATCCATTGTGTCTTCATGTAGCGAAGAAGCCTCACAAGACCTCAAGAGTGCCAAGTCAGAACAAGAAGTGCAAGCAACAAGATGACTTGTCATCACTTTGCACATACCGGACATGTCCGTATGCCTCACGGACGGTCCGGTATGGCCGAGGCAAAG